CTGTGCATGAAATAAAAGAAAATCAGTCAAAAGAGCCATGAATCCATTCTGAAGTCAGTGTCTGCCTAAAGGCATTCAAGGGGTTTCTTTTAAAACTGACCTTTTAGTTTCAGCAAAGCCTGGTTCATAAGTACTCTCAAAATACTTTACTCRTGTTCCTAGAATTGCTAAGTATTAGTGTATTTGTGGGTGAAAGAATATTTCCTCAAAAATACTTTGAGACAGAAGTTTATATGTTTTTCCTCAACAAAACAAACTCATTGGACAAACTCAGACTTATGTAYACAAAACGAGAGATCTGTTTGCCATACTAAGTTGCTAGGCGAACAAATGTGATGTCACAACACAGATTATGACTAATCTATTAAAAATGCATCAGGAAGAAGAAGATTATTTCATCAGATAGCAACGTGAGGAAGTAAAATAAGAGACTTTCATTAAACTGCAGAAAATTTGTTTTGCTTTGATTTTCTTTAAATATTTGGTTGCGTATCAATGTCTGTGTAAGCTTCCAGTTCATTTAGTAGCTTTTAAATAACCATAACACCCTCCTTTATTTTCCTTTTAATTTTCTTTATATGTTTTTCCATCACAAAATCTTTGTAAATTCATCGTACCGTTTAATAGGAGTTTAATATAATTTGATTCAGCTGATTGTCTTTAAAACAAATATGCTACTAATCAAGGTCTGTAKTCACCCTTAAAACACTGCTCTCTTAGCCAGAGGGAAAGAGGGAAAGCTGTGTTTTGCATTCAGTGGTGATGTAAAGCATAATCTCTTGCAGTGACAGAGAGAGATACAGGTGAGTTTGATAGATTGTGATACACAGAAGTTCTAATAATATAAGGGACTAAATAAACAAGTGAAAGGCTTGAAACATTTCTTTGATTACTGACAATAAAGCAACGCCTCAAACTTTAAACTGTCCGCAACTTTAAGTGATCTATGCSCAGCACACTGTAATGTTACTGAATAATTATGTACATAAATATATACAACATATAATCACCTTTTTTTCTTTTAAGTGTGAGCAATTTGAAATGGTTAAAAATTATAACAGAAAAGGATTTACAACATCAAAGAGGAAAAGGGGTGCCTTTTTAAACATCAAGTTTTATGGAAAACAGGTATTTACCGATGTTGTGTATCGCTACCTAGAACTTCAGAAAATGCTGATTATGCCACAACAGGATTCCTTTCTTGAAATGTTAAACTAACACAGATATAAAAAKATAAAGATAAACTGAGTATGAGTGAATGGTAATGAAATCCTGAAAACCACACACAGAGCAAGGAAGCAGCTGCATTTTGTTTAACCAGAAGTTAATCAACTATGAGAGAAGTAAGCAAGATTTATCTTTATATCTGCCAGAGATTATTAAACATTTAAATATTCATTTTATTTATTTAAATAGGAATTGTTGATGCATTACAAAATGGCACTGGATTTTTAATAATAAAGTACTATTAAGAAAGCTTGTATTGATTTAGAAAAAAATTACCACATCAGATTTCTTTGAACAACTTCTAAGGAAGGTAAGGTGTTCCTGTCCACTCTTTAGTAACTCAGGCTCTCTAATTTACTTTAGATCACATAAGAATTAGCTAGGTGGTGGACTTTTGCCAGTACTTACATCATAAAACCACCCCCTGCCTGGGTGTGATTGGAATTCTTCGCCTAAGATTGACCCTGAATTTAAAACGGCAGTTGTAGGTTCTGTCTGAGGAGCMCATAAAGTTATAAGAACTTTGGAGAGCAAAAGTTTGCACACCTAGCACAGGCTAAARCTGCTAATTCTTTACTTTCATGACTTCCATTTCCTCCTAAGGAAAACAAGAACAACAAAGCTAGCTATGCTGCATCTAAATGACCTTTCTTTATCACTCTGTACTTTGTCTGCTTGATACACAGAGCACATCTTTCACACTGACTGCTATTCCCTTCCACCCAATGCTGACAGAAACCTGAGTAGAAGCAGTGGATTTCTCAGGAAGGGTCCTCAAGGACTGAGCCTTTTTGAGGACACTTCTACTTCCCCCAACATACCATCGACCCTGCTGCTGGGAGAGCAAGAGTAGAAATGACATTTATTGGTGGATTCCCCAGTGGTGTTTCTACCAGCCCAGTGCCTTTTTTTTTTTTTTTTTTAAACATTTCTCACCTACCTGCAAGCTTTGGAGAACTGTTACAGGAATTCACTACAAAGGGAAAGGAGAGGAGAAAACAGATAGACATGACATACAGACACTCCTTCCACAGGTTCTCCATCCATCCTCTGTACTTCATTAAATTATCTATGTTTTGCTCTGCCTTGGAACTTCCAGCACTGCAAAGGAGAGTAAAGAATCTAGCTCTACCTGGTTATTAAGAATATTTTTAATTTTTATGAAACCAAGAAAATCCCAAAGGTTTTCCATGGATATATTTGGATAACAGCTGTAGTTTCCCTTTTTTTTTTTTTTTTTTTTTTTGGTGCATCCTCATTTGTCACTGCCCCTCTCTGCACAAGTTGGGTCCATGTGGAATCTGCCAGCTTGCTACCCCCAGTCTTTTGCAGAGTTTCTTTGTAATTCCTTTCGCCTTAAGCTCCTTTGCCTGTGCTCACCTACCCCCTGGGGCTCACAGAGCACAAGCAGCCTCCTTCAGAGACCARTGCCTACATTATTCCAAAGACTGCCGGAAGAGAAACGTTCATGCACTAAGCCTGTATCACCCAGAGCACAAACACATTCCTTCCATGACATGCAGGGCTCGGGATTCAAAAAATTTAGAGCTAGTTATACATGCTCCAAAAGCCTTCAGCTACCAATCCCAAACATGCTTGGAAGTGTATAAAATTGATGTGAAACTTCCTCTTCTGATCTTCCTCTTCAGATCTAATCTGAAGCCAGCATTATTCTTTACAGACTGTCCACACCTAGTCACTCTAGTGTCCCAGGAAACTAGTTTAGTATTTGTTTTATTAAGGAGGTGTTTTAATTTGAAGAAGAATGAGATGAAATTAGCTAGGAAACACATTTCAATGAACAACAATGCTTACAGCACAGATCTCATAAACTAAAACAACAGAGAACCAGAATGTAAACACTGAACAATCACAAAGCAAAAGAATTTTTATTCTGAGCAAATAAAAGAAATGCTGGAGCATAAAGCCTTCATTAACTAAACACTGTCTGTCAAAGTGAAATGCTGCTGAAACCGAGCRAGGCAGTCCCAGCAAGGAAGAGTGGTTTATTGCTTTTTGCCCACAACAATTCATCTGAATGTGCACAGCAAACATTGCAGTCAAATGCACTTAAGTTTAATTCAGCACACCTCAGCAACGAAGGAAGGGAAAGTTGTTTCACAAGTCCCTCAGAAACTTTTCTAGTGTAACGCTCACGAAGGAGCTACAATCAGGAACTGGGCAATTATTCAAAGTGCCACTAAAATAACRTGTTAAAAGGCTAAATTAGCACTACCAGCTCTTAGAGCAGGTTGTATATAAAATCTGAAGAAATCACTCAGTGATACATATTTGCTCTTTTCACCTAAAAAAGTCTAGAAATTATTACATGAATATGTACAGGAATGCAAGGACCAGAGTTGCAAGACACTGACAAACAAGCGGTAGCAAACAAACCCCACAAACCCACTCATTGTAAATGACAGAAACCCTCTGCAACCAACAACTTGGGGCAAATCTGACAAACACTTGCCATGACTTTGGGAGCAAAGAGCTGCTTGGAGTTTTCAGGCAGCACAAAGTGCATTTMCAATTACTCCCCAGCAACGTTTCAAGCCTGGCAGTGGAAACAGTGATAGAAAAGCAGTTACCCCGTGGCGGTACCCAATCAGAAAGCAGGTCACATCTCGTTAGCTGTATCATATACATTAAACGTCACAGATTCTCCATGGCTTAGCTGACAATTCAGGCATGTGTGTTTTATTTTATGATAACCTCATGTTATCTTAAAGAATCACAATACAACAAACAGACCAGCCCGAGATCCTTCACCACACTTCATGGCATGAACATGGSAGATATTTGACAGATATAAAGTCGTTTACTATAAAAGATTCATACTTTTWAAAAGTCTTTTCAGGGCACTAGTGATAAACTACTATGAAAAATTGCAGCACCAAGAACGTTTGCTGCACAAACACAGACACATGGACAGAAATGCAGCCTGATTCACTTTCATTTCAGCAGACTTGAAAAGTATGTTTTATTTAGCCATGTAAATAACAAAATGCAGCCACCACTAATTTTTTTTTCCCTTTAAATTACAAAAGTATTTTCCCCTCCCATTCAGTATATTCTTTGCAGTGGCTAACTCGGATGTTGCAGCCAGGGTGTATAAACCACTAACACATTATACAAAGCATAATCAACAGTGAATGTAGTTTACATTACYGGGTACTTTTGACAGCTATATGATAAAGTAGTGAACTGACCATCTCTCTCGCTAAAAGCAACAGCATTCTAAATGTAAACACAAATTTCTSTTGTCGGTTGTCCCAAACATGTGTTCTTTAAGAGTAGCCTAGGAATAAGTTTTTAAAACTCTGCTCCTGTTTTCAGTTATCATCCATTCTTCATTTTAACGAGTTTACAAAACAAAACCGGAGAAATGTTAGTCTCTCCCCCTAAGCCTGCAACATTCTAGAATTAATTTTGTGCAAAATACGAAGCAATACTTTGCAATATTACAGCTGCAAATGCCAGCAGGACAGATCCTGAGCAAACAACACACTAAGGCAAAGAAATTTCCTGAGACCAGCGTTATAATCAATCCTGAAGTGCTGTACTGTAATTTCACGATTTCAGCCTAAGCTGGTATCTCCTCAAAGAGTTGCTCTGCGTGGAAACATAATGAGGGATTACCCAATTAAACTACTAAATTAATTAGGGTTCATGCCTGCATATACTGTACTGTCTAGTGGGACGCTTCAGCTGGAATTCGGGCTGAAGCCTATCACGGTCCATGCACAGGAAAACAAGGCTGGGGGACTTACCTCCGTCCGCGACTGCAGCCTCTTGTTCATTTCATATATTCGGTACTCTGGTTGCACCATGTATGGTGTGTGTCTCCTATAAAATGGGCCAAAAGGAGAAGAATAGAAAGGGTCATGTGGTGTGCTGGACATCTTGCCTGCTTGCAGAGATTCAAGCTACACAGAGTATCATCAACATCCATACAGAGCACATGGGCTGTGTGTTCTTCACAGTACAAAGTAGCGGCGCGCACACACACACACACATCCAGGCTGCACGCACTGGCTGGGGACTGCTGTGGGAGCCCGCTCCGGCGGAGACGGGCGGGGGGGTGGGGGGGAGCGGGAGCGCACAGGCTCCAGACACGGAGAGGGAGGCTGGATAGCTTCAGGCACCGCCGCTCGGTTTTAAAGCAGCAGTTTCTGGAGGGGTCATTTCCTGTCCGCGCTGCCGACTAGTTCAGAAATGCCATCCCCCCGCTCCCGCCTGGCAGAGGTGCGGGTTGGGGTTCGCTGTCCCCCGCAGGCCCCCGCCGGAGCCGCGGCGGGCTCGTTAGCATATAGGTGGTTTAAAAGCTGCCTGAGCCAATCACCCCGCGGGTAATGTCAGAAATGTGATTACTACAAAATACATAAACACAGGCCACGGCCATCCCGGCGCGGGCAGCCGGCGCTTCCCCYGCGCCCGCCGGCTCCCTCAGCCCGCCCGGGGCGGCCGCTCCGCTCGGCGCTGCCCGGGCCGGGGGGGCCGCGCCCCGGGACACGGCGGGGAGGGCGGCCGGCACAAAGAAATAACCCCGCACGCCGCACTTTACACAATGGAGAGCGCTCGGATGCCAGCCGCGCAAAGCTCCCGGGAAATGGGGGAGCACAAAGGGGCGGGTGGCAGAGCGGGACCCCCGAACGAGCGCTGGCAGTGCCCTTCGGCGGGGTCAGTCCTGCACAAATGCGCCCTTTCAGACGCCGCTGTCCGGCGTAAAGGCKTCGGCAGCTAGGTGGGAGACTGCTCCCAGTTTTTAGGATCGTTGTTGGGCATAAATCCAGTAGCGGTTAGAGAGCGTTGCCAGTGAATATCTAACATTGGGGACGGGGTTCCGAGGGAGGAGGGGAGGGCAAGGGGAGGAGATCACCCTTTGGAGGTRAGGGATGAACTTTATCTGTTGAATCGTACTTGCAAGGCAGTGCTGGGAGCGGACACCACGTGAATGAAAAGTCCTCAAAATATAGAATAAACAAGATGGGCTTATCTGCTCATGGGAAAATGCCAAGGTTTAGGAGGGGAGCCTTCAAATTACCTGTAAGAAAAAGTCCTCGAAGCACAGACTGTGTCCTCATACACAGCTGTAAAGTATCAGGCATTATTTACAGTACTGAATAAATGTAAAAACAACAATAAACAGCGCTGAATTAATCTCTCATGTAAATTCATTCAAGCAAATGGAACCACTCTAGGAACAGATTTAGTTAACTAATATGATTAAGAGAATAACAATCAGCTGCAGCCACAACGGTTCTCAGTCAGGGTGCTCTGCATGAACGCGGCAGGATCGCCCATTTCACAGATGGGGAAATCAAGGCATGCGCCATTACTTTTTCTAAATTTTTGTAATAACCCCGAAAAATATTTCAGCGAGATATGGCTTTACCCACTGTCAAAAATTWAATTCAAATCTGACTGAAAGTAGGAATATTTTAAGACATATTTGAAAAATTCTAGTTTTCGCTGGCATTTTGCTAATTCTAGAATGTCTGACCTCTCTTTTCAGGATAAAATATGAATATTCATACTTTATGTTCCACTGACCACTAATCAGRATCATAATTTATCTTTGCTCTGCCAGTAGTTGTTTAGCAAAACTATTTCTGTATGCTCTTGTGGAATAACAGTTTCCATAAGAAGTGACGTATTGAGCTGTTTTTATAGACTTCCCACAGCTTCTGTCACTAAACACACAGACAACAGATAAAACACGAGGAATGTCACTTCTCTCTTCAAGAGCACCCCAGCTAKGCTGCCAGTCCAGTGCCATTACTGGAGGTGCTGAGTTTAACAAATAGAGTGTGCATTTGTCTCAGTAGTGCCTCAGTGACTGTGACACTGCTCTGCCAGGGTTCACCTGCCCCATGAGAAGCCCGTAACATGGCTACACACCTAGAAAAGGAGAAAACTTCCTTGCATCCACCCTGTACTCTAACGGATCCCAACAAGGCTACCTTAAAACCTAAAAGCAAAATGACCAGAAAAATTAGAGTTACAGCACTAATAGACACAATTTTTAGAACCGAAGTACCACGTATTTTTAAAAATGTCCAGAAAACCCAACCAGGAATCTACCAAATTATGGATTTTAATTCCTTTGCAAAGCAAAATGTATTTGCCCAAGAAGGGAAGCACAGCTTTCTGTAATTAAAATGGTGGAATTTTGCATAGCTTGAAAGCTATTTCAGTTATAAGGACTTTTTGATTAAGCTAAAATTCACTGTTTCCCTGAAGTTAAACATGGCAATTACATTAGTGTTTTTATTTTGGCAGAGGTGGGGGGAAAGGAAGGAGCAGTAGGATTTGCTTTCATGATTAGRAACTCTGAAATACTCCCCTCGACTCCCTCATAAGAGCTTATGTGTAYGGGTCTAGCACAAAGCAAAAATATGCAGTGATATTTTAATAATTCCCATTGATTAACTGGCAAATTATCCCACACCTACAGCCCACCAGCAAGAAGCAAGTCCCAGGGTAGGAGCCTGCTAATTACAGGCTCCGGCAGCTCTTCCAGTTGCCTGTTATCATCTAGGCTAGCGTGATGCGCAGAACAGTAAAACAGAAGGCAGAATCAAAGGAACATAAAGTTACAGGGATCCTGACAGTGTCATCTCGATTCCCACTTGGATCTGCCGCCTTTTAAGTTTTGTGTGTGCTCTGAGGGCGTGGGCTAGGGGGTGTGCAGCCAGCCCCATTGCCTGGGCTGCTCCAAACCCCCTGCATCACTGGCATCGAGCTGCTGCCCAAAGGGGCTTGGGGGTCGAAGGCAAATATGTGACCCAAGATTTAGGACAGTCAATGAATTCCKTAATCTGGAAAACAAGTTTAATGTGTGCAGAGGAAAAATGGAGGTAAACAAGAGGAAGAAAACTAGGGGAAGAGACAAATCTGAAAATGAGTCTATTCTTGTGCATGGCTACGAACAGATGAGGAAGTGGGGTGTGCACAGTTGTCCTTGCGTGGGTGTATGTGCATGCAAATACTGCTGCACCTCAAGGGCGAGACTTGCTGCAGAAAGGAAGGACTGGGACACGTCCTTGGTTCCCCAGTCCCCAAACCTGCACACTGCTTTGGCTCACTCCAGCCCTTAYATGAACATGAAACGGGACAGCAGAGCAGAGAGGGGCTGGGACACAGACTCGTGATTCCCGTCTGGGTAGAAGTGTGCCATCAGACCCCACCAGCGGACACAGAGCCATGGTTTGTGTCCCCCTGGCATGGCACTAACCACCACACAGCCCCTTGGCACCCCAAAGGAGAGGTAGGACAATCTGGCTGCTGTCTGGGTGCTGGATTGCCCTCTCCTGGGCAGAAACAGAAGGACCCAAGCAAGTCAAGGACTCGCACTGTGACAGCTCTGGAGGACGACTTCCCTTCATTTCACGGGAAAGATGGGTCTGGTGGAGCAGAAGGGTGCATGTCCTCTGCCTCTGCACCCACCTGTGTGATACCTGCWGTGCCCGTGAGTAGCCGAGTTGCAATATGACAGCAGGACCAAAAACCAACAGCAGAAACTTCCAGGACAAAAGCCGGGAGCRAGAAGGGATTAGCCAGAGCGGTTTGTTCATCTGTCCGTGCTGGAACACCCGGCACAGGGGGTCCCACACAGCCCGCACTGGGAGGGCTCCTGTGCTGCCAGTGCCACACCACTCCAGGGACAGCCCCGTAACACGGCCCTGCCAAAAGCACTGCGTGTGACTGAGGCACAACCCTCACCTCGCCAGGCTGACAATCGAAGCAGTTCTGAAGGCTGCACTATTTTTAATAACCGCTTAGTAATAATAATAATAATGCAGAAAAGCGTTACAGCTGTAAATAGGTGTAATTGCTGTGTTTGTCCCTGGTATGTGTTGACTGTTCAGTCTCCGTCAGAAATCTGGTTTACAAGGATACATTTAAGGTGGTTTGTAGGTTTTTAAAGACAGTAGAGACTGATCTTAGTTAAAGACACATAGCATATGAAGAGAYAAAAACTACAGGTACTTGAATATTGTGAATACTCAAGTAAACATGATTTGTTTTTTAAAAACTAACAACACTACCTTTTCAAACTATCCTTTGTTTATACAAAAAACAGATAGCGCTGAACACTTCTGATGGAGTGGCCTTAGGTAAAAGAACAAAACTATTTTCCTGTGGATGCTCAAGAATGACTAAATGAAATATGCTTATCGAAAGCAGGGATGCACAATGAAGAACCACCAGCAATACRTAACCATCTGTAATATATACTCAATTGCAGAACTCAAACACAGGATTTTGACAGGCTTCAGGTTACTTCCATTCATTTCTACAGCTATAGAATAGTGTACCAGATGCTTGCAATTTATAGGAAAACTAGAAGCTGTAATTTGTCTGCATTAAATATTAATATATACATTGAAATAAAAATATATTCCAGAAAACAGTGCCCTTTCACAGATAGTTTGTGGTCAGGAAACCAAATAAATCTGTTCAATCCATTGTTAAAAATATTGGCTCATCTCAGTGTACACTTACATGTAGATTACTTTTTCTTTTGTTGTGATAATTTTCACTTTCTGTCATTAATAAAGGACATTAATATTTTTATCAGAAGGGATTTCAAAAAATCCATAAGTGGGGCCCACCAAAAATTGCTGTGTTTCAGAGTTTAGAGTGCAGCAAGAAGGGTTCCTATCTTTTAAAGGCTTCAGGCTTTTAGCAAACTCAAACTTACCTTGCATAAATTACATATAATTATAATTCAATACAAATGAAAATTCTAAAAATTCTCTTCTCCTGTTTAATCCTAGTAAATTGGAGTTGCAGCTCCAGCACTCACTACTAATGCTAGAAGTACTTCCAAACTGATGATAAGACAAAAGGGATTTTAAAAATTTTTTGGTTCTTCAGTGTACATGATGTCTTTGTCCTCAATCAAAATGAATGTTTAATCTTGTCTGGAAACTTTATGAATGCTCAGCTGAAAGCAGTCTTTGAGAAGCCTGCCCATGCCTGACTGAGCAGTCTGTCTGCTTTACTTATCCACTACCTGCACAGCACCTGAAGGAGACAGAGCAGGGGAAGTAAACATGAAACAAACCTGAAGTGGTGAAAATCTTGTCTTGATGTCACATCCATTGCCCTCCTAAACCCACTGAGATAGAGCAGACGAACTGGCTGACCATATCTCTGATTAAGCTGTGGTAAGCCAGTGCTSTAAGTGTCCTCTCTTGGTGCCAATGCAMAGGGATCCTGCTCTACAGGAGCTCMAAGCTGCAGCCCAGCTCCTCAGCTCACAGGGGACTCCAGCTTTCAGC